AAAACAATAGTGAGGTGAGACAAAAATAATCCAGGAGCAAAACATCTTCAGTTTTTGAAACTTTCAAGTAGAAACTTTGTTAACGGAAACCAGCCAGGTAATGGCCAGAGGCATCTTCAGCGCCTTGGTGAGCTGAGCCCGGTTGCTGCGCCTTACAGTTGTATCTGTGTGTGCATGTACACACGTGTGTGTAAATATGTACGCGTGGAATCTATTTTTTCATCTGCAAAGGTTTACACTTTACACTGGACTTTGTGCCAGCTGAGTAAAACAGAAAAAAAAAAAAAAAAACAATGTGGCAACTAGTCCCTTGACACAATGCAACAGACAAGCTCCAAGTACCGCTAGGCTAGGCGCATGTCTGTAGGAGCCGTGATTCCGATGATTTCTGCCTCCTCCTGCAAAGGGAAAACCTCAGTAGGGTATCTGAGCGTCCCATGTAAACGCTGCAGGCATCTTACAGCTCAGGGACAAAGGAATACAAAGCTGCACTCTTCTCTTATTCTGTTTGCCTGACTGTAAGTTATGAACACATATACTTTTCTGACTCCCCGACACACAGCTCGTAAACACTGTCAACGTAATCGTCCTGCTCCCAGACGCCCGGGCAGGTCCTGTCCACAGAACCCATGGACCCGTGACTTCAACACAGATCACGGGTTGCTCAGCTTCCGGTACACGGTACACTGATGGGATCTCCGCATTCCAGACGCCCCTGGCCAACTCCGCCTCAATCTGCTCTCGACTTGCTATGCAGGTCTTTAAAGACCAAATGGTAGGAATTAGCTAAATTAACTAAAATAAGCTTTGAGCATGGAATTATGTGTTGAAATCACATGTTGCAACAGACTCACTTAAAAACAACACTCAACCAGCCAAAACAAGCAAACAAAAAGTGGGGAAAAAATCCCGTAACACCAATTAGGTCTCCACTTGTTACCCAATCGATGAAGACTTAACATCATAACACGAAATATACTGCGACTAACATGCAACCAGAGACCAAGTCGCCTCAACCATAACCCAGCCCACATGGTTTATCTAACCAAGCGATCTCACTTAAAGAAAAAAAAAAACATGGTGTTTGGTGATGGTTCTGATCTGTTAATAAGGAGTGCAAAGAGCTTCAGGCTTTAGGTCGGCACCAGACTCACCCGAACGTCACCAGGATTATGCGGAGGCACCTGCATAACCGCCCACTCCTCAGAAAGCCCTACTGCATCGCGGCCGGTGCTGCGGCCTAATGGGTCAAAGCCACGGCCTGCGGTGCCAGATTCCAGTTGGGCTCCAGCTCCTGCTATGGCCTCGGAAAGCAGCAAGGGTGGCCCTAGTGCTTGGGCCCCTGCACCCACGTATGTAGGAGACCGGGAAGAAGCTCCTGGCTCCAGCCTGGCCCAGCCCCGACTGTTGCAGCCATTTGGAGAGTGAACAAGCAGATGGAAGATTTCTCTGTCTTTTCCTCTCTGTAACTCCACCTCTCAAATAAATAAATCTCTTAAAAATTCTTATTTTATTTGAAACTATTGCATGCTCTATTAAGAACAAATTTTTGGAATCCTTTGGTCAGTGTTCCTGTAACTGCTACACTTAAATTATAAAAGATAAACAGAACTATTATTTTTTCAAGGAAGCCTCCCACTGTCTTCTCAAAGGCCATGTCCTAGAGGAAGAGGATCTAGAACGGCGTTTTTCCCTTTATTCTCTTCAGGTAATTACACACGAGCGTCGCATGTGTAACGGAGAGCACACAGCCGCGTGCCGCTCCTGCAGACCCAAGCGTACAGCAAGCAGGCGGTCACTTCTCCCAGCCAGCAGGGGTCCACACCTCACCTCTGCTAACAATTCACAACGCAGGACTCTTCCAAGAGGGTAACATGTTAACAGCTTCACAAATGCGAACAGCAGGGGCCTGTGTTGTGGTGCAGTGGGTAAAAGCCACCACCAGCCACGCTGGCACCCCCTGTGGGTGCAGGCTGGTGTCCTGCTGCTCCACTTCTGATCCAGCTCCCTAGTAATGCTCCTGGGAATCGCTGGAGGACGCCCCAAGTCCTGGGGCCCCTGCAGCCATGAGGAGACCCAGAAGATGATCACGACTCTGTGTTCCATCTGGCCCAGCCCTGGCCATTGCAGCTATTGGAGAATGAACCAGCACACGGAAGATTTCTCTCTCTCTCCCTCACTGTACTCTGCCTTTCAAATAAATAAAATAAATTTAAGAAAAAAGTAAAAAAGAATTAAAAGCAACTCCGAGACGTGAAAACACACAGGTGTATGCCAAGGCGTCACAGCAGTTGGACAGGGCTGTTGTGACTGCCTAACTAAGTAAGCCGCTGGTAGGAGAGATCTTCAGTTCGGTTCCCAGAGGGAACAGAACACTCCTCTGGAACATTTTAATCTGTGCTGGGGCTGGCGCTGTGGCACAGCAGGTTAAAACCCCAGCCTGCAGTACCGGCATCCCATATGGGCAACTGGTTCAAGTCCCGACTGCTCCTCTTCTGATCCTGCTCTCTGCTATGGCCTGGGAAAGCAGTAGAAGATGGCCCAAGTCCTTGGGCCCCTGCACCTGCGTGGGAGACCTGGAAGAAGCTCCTGGCTCCTGGCTTCGGATCAGCACAGCTCTGGCTGTTGTGGTCATTTGGGGAGTGAACCAGCAGAATGGAAGACCTCCTTTCTCTGTCTCTACCTCTCTCTGTAACTCTTTCAAATAAATAAAAAATAAATCTTAAAAATCTGTAGAGACTTACATCAAGAGAAAGAACTGGAATGAGGCTTTCTAAAATCTGAATCAGTAGGAGACGTGACGGGATGGTCACTCTGCCGTTTGTGGGAGCATTATGCCTGCACACAGGAGAGCAGACAAAACCCAACGCCATCACTTCTGCGCTCTGGAACGCTGGCCGGCTTTACGTTCCCTTACAGCAGCAACCACCCGCACAAAACCAAGCAACAGAAAACCTCTCTGCCAAAGTTAAGAACGGCGGGTGTGGTCAGTTCACGGAAACACTTCTGAGACAAAAAGCCAGGAAAGCAATCTACTATTTTTCACGAAGAGAAAAAAGTAGTTAACTCTCAAATTCAGAGTACCACGTTCATGAAGTACAGAGATAAGATCAGATAACACTACTGAGAAGAAAGAAAACCAGGACTTTAACTAACTCACATGTGACTGTATTTCAGACGTCCTCGCAGGAACTTTTCTCAAGTATTTTTAACGTTTCCCTGACTTCTAAATACACAAAGTATTATTATTAGCACATTTTAGGGAATACGAAATCTCTTTCATTTTAAGTACAAAATGTGAAAACAACTCATTGTGCTGATACTGTAAATAAGTCAGAAAGCTACTCATTCATTACTCATACACACTAGCTACTTACCTACAATACAGCACTGAATAAACAACAGGGAAACAGAGGATTGAAAACCACTGTTTCACAAGACAACACTACGAGGTAGCCACAGAATACTCTTGTTCCGGAAATGGAAAGCCAAGTAAGATGATTTTGTAGTCCCCTAGCAGTGACTGAACATTAATGTTATCCACTGAGGTTACAAACCCCCTTGGGGGGTTTAATTTGTCAGGCGGTGGGTAGCGGTGGCTACTGACCTCTGTTATGCAAACAGTGACACACAATCATGACCAATAACATACTCAATATTTGGGCCTCCATTAAAGTATCATCTAAAAACCTCTGTCACACGGCAGAACAAGATACTTGAGGATTTTAGGAAAATCTTTCAAATTCCAGCTTACAGAAAGGGTATGTCCCTAAAAACATAAATTTGGCTGTTGCATCAACAAAAATGAAGAATTACTTTATTTCATTTAGAGAGTTCGATATTTAAACATAAACTGTTGTGGATAATTAAATAATTTGGTTTAGGCTTGGCCTATTCTTCCCTCCCCTGAATTAGACAGAAGCCAGCTTCCTTCAAACAGGGTGGACTGAGGGGCGTCCCCAGGGGCAGCCACACTCTCACTCCTTCCATGGGGAGTGTGGACCCACCACACCAACCCAGAGACTCCCCGTCCCAAATACAAGACCAAGCGGCAGAAGGGAGGCGTCAGACATTTACCCCTTAGCAGGATTCGCTTTAACTGCTCTTCCAACCAAGCAGCTCAGAGTGCAAACCTGCACCGTGGCGCTGTGAGGAAGGAGACAAGAAGGCAACTCTGACCTGGGCCAGGCCTGCGTGAAGACCCTGGCTCATCCGGAAGACAACGAAAGGGTCCGGAGGATGGAGCGAGCAGGGCCCAGGTCTGGACGCTGCAGTCTGCTCACAGGCAGTATGAAACACCTGTACTTCTGATCCAAGAGCAAGCCAAAGCGCACACTCAGCGAAACAGCAGGCAAGCACCTAGAGCTGGAACTGTGACGCTAAATACCAGGAAACTTGGAAAGAGCCTGACTACGTACATAACGCTATACAAAACTAATGGAGATTGAACTCATGCAACCGCGGGGCCAGCTGCACCGGAGACAAGTTAGTATCACCCTCGCACAGACCAGCACTGGGACGGAACGTTACCAGGGGTTACGGTCCACCTGTGTCTACTGCAGACACGATAAACAGCAGCTCTCGCAGACAACACTGAGAACACACGCATGGGGGAGCTGCGGTTCTTCCTGATTTAAAATGACTCAGTTACGGAACTAGTTCTCCTAGTAAGAAAAGGAAATCACCGCTTACTTTTACTCAAGGTTTTATTGAATCAATTTTGTTGACTCCAGGCCAAAGTTACACGTTCATTTTTTAAGTGAATGAAGCCTAGTCCTTAAAGAGTCCTAAGGACGCATCTGATGATCACTTGCATACGTGTGGAGGGCGGGAACGCACTGCGCCACACCAGGCTTCACGCGTTACAGGGCTCTGCAGTATCTACTTTAACCAAGACAGCTAAAGTCATGTATTAAAATATGAGAGGACTGCAAAAACTCTGTGGAAAGATGCAATGAAAAGGTAAACTATTTGGTGCAAAAATTTTTTGCAATCCATGCATAGTGGTTTTTGTTTTTTTTTTTGTAATACACACTTTCCATGAGCTTTTTGAAGACCCTGTGTCTAACAGGGTTCAGAAGGTATATTATCGAGAAAAGAATGTTTCCACACAGCAGTGGTACCTTTCTGCAAGGGCATGCTACTCACTTAGCCTACGTCAAAGCCCTCCACTGATTTCCTGCCAGTAGCACCTTTTCCTGGCCAGCTTAAGAGCTTCAGAAGACAGGGTCTGGACCATCATCATTTCAAACGCTTCCTTGGACACCTCAACGTCCCCCAAATGCCAGGCAGCACGGGTGCTTAAACTTGGGAGCCGAGAAACGATAAGCCGGCGTTACACTGAAGACCACGAACGAACACCCAGGCGGGGAAACCCACTGTCCAAGGCAAACTGGCTGTCCCCCTGCCTTGCGGGCTCTTCCACACACACTGCGGGTGGACAGTGCACCCTGCAAGGGATCTCTAGGCGACGCCCACGAGGCTCGGTAAAATCAGAGAAGCCTTCAAAGACTTGCCCTTGGACAGCACTGGCTGTGGAAACTATGGACTGTAAAACACACTTTCCGGGACAGAATGATTTTTGAAACTGTGACCGACAGAATCATCATCGGACAAAAGAAGTCTAATTGGTAAGCTCTTTTCATAAAGCTGATCAACACAATGGCCACACCGGGAACATGGTGCTGCGGAGCCACACGTGTTCCGTGTTCCTGCTCTCTCCCAGCAGAGTGTGCACTGTCTGGAGACGGAGTGTCTCTCACACTGAAGCCCGGGGATACTGGCGTTGCCGAAACACAGCTTCCAAGGGCTCCACTGGAAGGTGGCAGGACACGCCCTGCACACACGAAATAAAGGGGGAAGTGTCTGACCTTTGTACTTTGAGCTCCTCACAGGAAAAGTGTTCTGTAAACTCAAGCTGTTATCTGAAGGGCAACAGAAACAAATAATTCTCAGACAAAAAACCTTTTTTGAAAAATCCTAGTTTTTAAGACAGTTCCTAATGTCCAATATAGGATATAAGATACTGGCATTTAGCTATTCAAACTTATATAGAGAAGTACAGTACTCTGGAGAAGTACAAAGAAATACTTTTAAAAAATACATGTATATAAATTAATGAAACTAGTATTTAAAAGATTTAATACAAGGAAAAAAATGTATAGTGGTACCAATTCTTAATACAAATTATTAAGCATAGTTTATATAATTTCAAAAGTTATTCACATTATTGCTCGATACCACAGTTGTATGGAACAAGTTCTTGACACACATCAAAACCTGTATAATTTCAGGCTTATGAAAACAAAAATTTACACATAAGTCATTCAGAAATCTAGAAAATGTTAAAATGCATGAAGATATGTACAACCAAAAGGGAGAAAAATGTGTGTATGTATGTTCAAACAAGCCAATCTAATTGCAATGCACAGGTCACATTCTCAGTCAAGGAAATGCACATAACTGAACTGGAAGTGAACCAGTGGATGACACCGCGTCCGTTTCTTAGTAACAACCTGCTCTCAATAATGATGGGGTATTCAGCACTCTAGAACCTCTGCTTTCTTTCAAAAACATAGTTCTACAATGATGCTAGATTTGGAGAAATATTCTTCTTAAAAATGTTTAAAAGAAGTACTTCCATCTTTTTATATAAGATTTGACAAGCAATAAAAATAACCCAAGTAAGGCTATTATTAGTATCATCTCGACCAAAAATATACGGATTGTGATGCTACTCTACTTTGCGATCCTGAGCTCTAGGAGCCACTGATGCATGCACACCATCCCTTGATCTGCCTACTCTAGGAGTAAAAATAATTTAATTCTGCCGTACCACCTTGGAAGACAGGCAGGCCTTCACGATGGCACAGACGTAACCGCTGTAAACAGTGTTAGGAATTGTATGGAAGGGGGAATGTCTGGTTCCAAAGGCTTTTAAAATAATAACGACTAGGATAAATGTAAAAGCAAGAAAAAATAATACAATTTGTGCTTGCTAGAATAGATAAGTAGAGCCTTACAAAGGTGTTTTCTATGTTAAGGAATTTATAAATAAAAGATTCTGTGTACCTTGGTGATAAAATAAAAAAGGCTGGCCACTTTTTATGCTAAGTTCAAATGTATTTTTTTGATAATACAAAAAAGTAATCCTTGAAACTCAGAATACATAACAGAACAGAGTACAATAACTTAAGTATTAAACATCTGTATGAAATAACTTGCAAAGTTTGACAAAAATGCACACTTAGAACATGCGGTTATTTAGAAAAAAACAAACAAACAAACAAACAAACACCACCACACTGTTCTGTAGAACCAATGTTATGTCACCACCAGGAGAGCACCGAGCAAGGCACCATTGGAAAGACAACGTACTTGGAAAGTCTCTATCAATACGATCAACGCTAATCTGGTCGAAAAATCGGTGTCTTTGGTAAAAATTCTATGAGGATGACCTGTAAAAGAAGAAGAAGAAGTTTTAAAGAGATTTAAACAGATTTTTAATCTTAAAATTTCAGTTATATTTCTCTCACTTACATCAGTTACAATTTTGAAAATCCATCCACATTTTAAAATAGCAACTTGATACTATTAGAACACATGATTTGATAACACAGAGCTCCATCACTGAACATCTTTCTGGACCTTAACCCAACATGCAACATACATACCTCAGTTCTGAGAGGAGGACTGCGGGAAGTCGGTGGACGGCTGATAAGGCCGGCACCCCCAACACACTGGAGCCCCGCCCCCCGCCCCCAGGCGCACGCACATATGGGTGAACCAGGAAAGCGGCTAGCTCTGAGAACTCACCGCCCAGCAGGTGCACCACCCCGCTGGACATGTCTGCTTAACCCCAACAACTCCTGTGTCCCCACTTCCCAGGTGAGGGAACAGCGAGGGCCGGGGAGCTGGCATCTCTGTCTCGTCGCAAAGCCTGGCCCCTCCAGCGCAGACTGGAGCTGAACCCTTAGTCCCAGTTTTCCTTTGGCTTCCCTCATTTATCAACTCAGCTCCCTGGTCTTTAGGTCCTGGCGCTGCCCTAGTTCGACAATACAGGGACTTAAGTTAGCAAAATCAAAGATCAAAATGTGTCCCAAAGGACTTTTTAACAGGAGACTGAAGGAAAATCAACAAAACAAGATGGAAGACCTCTCTCTCTCTCTCTCTCTCTCTCTCTCTCTGCCTTTGCCTCTCTGTAACTCTGCCTTTCAAATAAATATATAAATGTTTTTGAAAAAATTACTTGACTGGAACAGTTTCCAAGTCTGGTGAACTCCCCACTGCTTTCTCATCTCCAGATCTGCACACTGCCGCGAGTTAGCCGTTGGGGCCAGAAACTTCCGTCCGCACTGTCCAGCTCCGCTGGCGTCTGGTCTGCCTCTATAAAGGAGGCACTTGCACTCCCGGCTCAGATGGCCGCGTCCCACTCCGGTTTCTGCCCTGGGTCTGGGCGACTGTGGCTTGCCTGCAGATCACTCACTGCCCCCCGCGCTAGTGCTTTGCCTAACGTCTTTCTCTGGGCCACATCTGCTTGTGTTCTGGTTTCCTACCTATGTGGATAAAGGGATTAGACTACACCACAAGATTTTTCACAGCTCCGAAATTTGACGATTAAATGTTTAAGCTTCTCATGAATCAGTATTCAATAAATTCTTCTGTATGTCAAATATATCTTCAATCAAGTGGTCTTAACAATACTATGACTATATTTGAATTGCTAATTTTTAACAAACATATTCTACAAATTCTTTTTCTTCAGAAGTCACACATAGAGATTGGCTACCAGTCTCATTTTTTTCTAAATTCTATCTGTCTGCCACATTTAAACAAAGAGGGCACCTGCACTGTGTGTGGTGCAGCAGGTTAAAGCCCCAGTCTACAGCACCAGCATCCCATATGGGTGCCAGTTCATGTGCCAGCTGTTCCACTTCTGATCCGGCTCCTTGCTAATGTGCCTGGGAAAGCAGTGGATGATGACCCAAGTCCTTGGGCCCCTGCACCCATGTGGGAGACCTGGAAGAAGCTCCTGGCTCCTGGTTTTCAGATTGGCCCAGGTCTGTCCACTGTGGCCATTTGGGGAGTGAACCAGCAGATGGAAGATTCTCTCTCTCTCTCTCTTTCCATAACTCTTTCAAATAAATAAAATAAATCTAAAAAAAGGTCATCTTTAATAAAAAAAAAAGTATCAATTGGTGTTTGTTTCTAGATGATCTACAATATTCAAAATACGATCAAGAAGAAGTAATTTCCTTTAACAAATGAAATTTCTGTAAGCTACAGAAAAGGAGGGGTAGATAGTTAAAAGGTCCAAAATCATTAGAAAAGGAAGCACCCTCTTCTTACCAGATTATTTGCTATTTTAATTTTTAAAAATTGCTCTTAAGGGCAATTTTTTAAGATTTATTTATTTATTTGAAAGGAAGCAAGAGAGAGAAAGATCTTCCATCTGCTGCATTCCCCAAATGGCTGCAATGGACAGCGCTGAGCAGATCTGAAGCCAGGAGCCAGCAGTTTCTTCCTGGTCCCCCATGCAGGTGCAGGGGCCCAAGGACTTGGGCCATCTTCTGCTGCTTTCCCAGGCCACAGCAGAGAGCTGGATCGGAAGTGGAGCCGTTGGACTGGTGCCCAAATGGGATGCAGGCACTGCAGGCAGTGGCTTTACTGGTTATGCCACAGCGCCGGCCCCTAGGTAATTTTTAAAACCATATAATTCCTACATTCAACTATTGTAAATGTATAAACTCTGAGGCAAATCTAAAAAATATTTTTAGAGCAATTTGAAATTTTTAAATTTTATTCTGGATATCTGAGAGCATGAAAAATAATGAGTTCAGTAGAAGTGCTTATTGTCTAAAAGTTCATGGCAAATTACAGGACATTACAAACAAAGCAAAGCTCAGGATGTTTCGGAAGGTGCTATTTTTAGTTAGTAAAAGAATGTCATAAAGCAATAAATATATTTTATGAATTAATGATATTCAAATCTGTAAATCACAACATTGGGAATAACTTTTATGTTGTCTTCTCCAAAGTCAATTTAGAGATGCACACAGATGCATACAAAATAAGGCTTCAGTTTTAAGCTGTCTGGGTTTATAAATGTAATAAATGTGTTTTCACAAAATCTTTACGTCTCCTAAATAACCATCCCTCCCCTCGAATGCATCCACCAACCCTTTTACTATCTATGACGAAAACATAAAACCAGCATCTCCATAGGTCAACTTCAACAGCTTACCTGAAGGTGCTTTTTTGCGATTATAAAGAAGTACCAAGTGTCTTTCTCAACATCATGAATTTACATGTTCAATGTAATAAAGACAAGACCTACATTATTCAGTGAACTGAATAGAGCTAGTCTGTGAAAAAAGACCTTTAAAAATACCTTTTATGCTCAAGGCTAGAAGTGGGACTTGGCTGTAAGACAATGAAAGAACAGGAAAGTGCTAACAGAGAAAAATGATTTTATGATAATTCCCAACTATTTAAACACTTTTTAAATCCATCTTTTATATACATACACACACAGAGAGACAAAAATTCATCAGGTATGTTACACCCAGCACTTAGCAAAGGCTCTGGCTTGCATTTCCAACAATTACCTCTTCCTGAGGTCTATTTCTTTTAATGTAATAACCTTTCCATATTTACAATCAAACACCCCAGCTCAAGGGAGAATCACACAGATTCACAGCTTCCTACAGTACTGCAAACTTTTCAAAAGGAGAAAAACGGTTCAAGTGCATCAAGGGGTCGGAATTCACGCTACAAACGGGCGAAACCAGGTCACAGGATGAGCGACACGGGCTCTCGGCGCTGACTTGTACGATAATTTTACACAGCAACATTTATCTGGAAGCTCCTCTGACGGCCGCTGAGGTCTACGGGCAGCTCAGAGCTACACAGGCGAAAGGGCTCTTAAGCGCCCATGGATCGGTGAAAGGTTTTCCTCCATACTTGGACACTTGATTAGCATGATATAGAAAAGCCATATCTGACGTGGTTATTCATAGAGCACCTAAAATTTCACACTCCATCAACACATGTTCAGGCTATTTTATCTTGGCAATTAATTTATTATTTTTCAGAACACAGTGAAGCCTTGTTTTCAAGTCATTCATAACTTTATAAATCAGTCTTTGCACATCAAACCATGCATCTGTGAACCGTAGAAAATCCTTGCACTCAGGAGATTCAGCTCCTGACACCTTTGCTGATTAATAATCACGGAAAGAATAAGATCAGAAGCAAAATAAATGATCATTTAATAGAGAAACTCACAAAACAGCCCTTGAACTTACATATTCCATCATGTTGCTCGTTTCACATTTCCTTTTGCTCAGTCTCCAGTGCAAGCACAGCTAGACGGCGGGAGGGAAGGAGAGGCGTGAGCTGCTTCCACTGCGCACCAGCCCGCCCCAGTTGTCCACCTTTCCTATTTCCAGCTCAACAAAAGCATCTGTTTCCATACTGCGCGACTGAGACCCCAGCAGTCCGAAGCCGCTCCCCGTGGCACCCACCTTGTGGTATAACCTATTGTTTTCCCATTCTAATAACTTCTCAATCGATCTTCGTGTCTGAAAGACAAACGAGAAAAAAGTTCACCCTCAACTGGTTTTAGAAAAACTTTGTTTTGCAGCTGCTTTTTATGTGAAAAGGGGAGAGGAAGACACTGGCAGAGCACAGGGTGGTCCAGCACTAAATGGTGTCTTCAGAAAGCTGTTCTAAATTTACCAGCCTCCAACAGAAAGCTAGTGAAATCTCAAACGCTCTATAAAATGTGTAAATTTAAATACACACTTCTTTCAAAATATTTTGGCAATGCTTAAAAAGTAAAGTAAAAAATTTAATGCTTTAGTTAATAAAACACAAATGACTTTCAGGTAAATTAAAAAATAATTGAAAATTAATTAATAAAAAGTTATAAAAATCAAACTAATTTTCTTATCATACTTAAAAGTAATAATCCACATTTAAAAGCCGGTTTACTGATTATTCCACAGATTTTCCAGCCAAAGTTTTTATGTAAATTAACATAAAAGTGTCATCTGGCAGCAAAATCAAAGTCTTCATTCAATAGTACTGTTTCAGGAATCAATTGAGAAATTTACTTCACTTGATTGTTGCAACACATTCTACGCAGGACAGAATGTTTCTTGCTCTGGAGTCTGAATAGAGGAGGAGATAATTCATGGTGCCAGGTGTTAGGATGCGACTGTGACACAGCTGCAGGTGCAGCCCCGACGGAGCTGCCACCCGATCACCCACACCGTGGTGCAGCTGCAGGACGCTTGCATCGACTGTTATTAATGTGGTGCAACGTATTGTAAACAAGCACTGTCAATCCATTCTCAAGATCTGCACACCACCCAGGAATAAGTCAGGTGAAAAATGCTAGTCTTGAACTGGTCTTAAATAATGTAATGCTACATAATCAACTGTTCCTGCTTATTTTAAGCACCCACTGTAATCTGGTGGCCGTTTTACCTTGCAGCAAGCTGAACACCCTGGGCACGCCACGGTCACCTAGGTGCCAACCATGATCCATAATTACCAACAAACCACCACGACTGCCTTCCACTTCCCAAGCTTATGTCATAAAAATCAGAACCCCACCGCCTCTCTGGGCACTAGCAGCCAATGGCTAATTTATTACATTACTTTTTAGAACAGTCTTTCTGGCAAGAATTTTCAAGAAAAAAAATAGTGCCCTTGTTAACAATGATCAGCAGACCTCACTTGTTTCTTTGTAAAGATAGCCTTTTCGAGGCAGCTCTCCTTTTAAATGAAAATAGGGCAGCAGTTATGGTCACACTTTTTGTTAATTTAGTTGCCAGTCAGCCCCAAATCAAAAGAAAATAAGGCTGCAGAGTGTAATTAGCATTCAGTTCAGTCGTTTTGTCCCTTGTCTAGCCCCCAAGCTTTGTTAAAATTGCCATCTGAATGCTGAAGGCTGGAGGGAAATCGATTTGATTCTAATCGCACCATGAAAAGAACATGATCTAACTGCTTTCAGCCCTCCGTAAATCTGTACTAGGTCTTTAGCACAATGCAACTTCCAATTTAAAAAGCACTGAATGTCTCGTCAATGACTTTGTGAAGAAAAAAGAACAAGGAGCAGACATAAAAATTCCAATAGTTGTTTAAGCATTAAAGCTCATTTGCATCACAGCGAACCTGAAAAGGGCTGACCTCGCAACCGCCTCTCAGGTCTGTGAAGCTGTAGCCGTGACAGGCGCGCACTGACAGAGCTCATTGACTCTGAAAGGCTACTCTATCAATGGTGAAGAACGGCACTAGGTCCCCCAGCAGCCTCCGCCTGCCCACCCGCTGCTGAACCAGGGCAAACCGATTCAAAGCCTCGGTCCACCTTGTAATCTTCCTTTCCAGGGCCTTTTAATAACAGATTAAGATTACTATGCAATTTGAGGTTTTACTTTTACTGATGGCTTGGGGGGGCGGGGGCTGGTGGTGACGAAAGAACCAGGGTGGGGGGAAGAAGTTTTCCGAGTCCCTTATTTTACTTTAACATATAAAATAGTTCCCAAAAGATTACCACTGTATTCTGCCAATATTTATTACTCAAGAAGAAAAAAACGTAGCTAGCACCATCACCATTTCATCAGAAACTTAAGCCCTTGCTATATTACAATAAGAGCAGGTCTCATACATGCCATATACATGTACACACACAAGCACACATATACACACAACTTAAAAGTATTAACTATAAATAACTTCAAGCAACTACCAGTATTTGAATAAAAGATAATTACAAAGCATGAACCTTAAATTTCAAAATATTTATTTTGAATAAATTTCAATTTACTCTTTGCATCTAATTAGGACGTTAATGATAGGGTTTCATATAATAATAATTGTATCTTACAATATTTAAGTGTTTGAAATCAAACAAGCTCTGGCACGCCATATTCTGAATAAGTACCTAAAAATAAAATATTTCTATAAACTTGACAGTCTAAGTACTTAAGCTGTGAGTTAGCACCATCTAATCTTGCTATAAAGACTTTTTTCCTGCTTGACAGGTGAAAAAAAAAAAAGAACTTGCACGTGCAGCTTAGTCAGTCACTGCACTTGCATGGCAATGATCTACAGTGAGGCGCAGGTGAGAGCACACAGAACCAGAAAGGAGCCGCTTCCAGCAGGCCAAGGTGACAAGTACACAGATCCCAGCAGTCAGTTAAAACGGGGGTTGGGGGTGGGGGGTGGGGGGAGAAACTGTGCCACAACACGTTCTGTTAGTAGCAACAAAAGCTCAGATTAAATGGGGGGGGGGGGGGGAGCTTTAACTACTGAGAATGTTTAACACTCTGCAATTACTTTTAGTTAGCAAAATCAAAATATATTCTCAAGATTGAATACAATGCCAATCTGGCAGATACTGCAAAAATACCACACAGCAGTGCTTATAAAAGCTATCTCAAAGCTTTCCAACAAGAAAAGAAAGCACATTACGATTGCAGCCATCTAGAAATAGAAGTTAAGAACTGATGTCCACGGGGCTGACAGTTATTTCTAACGAAATGAAGGACTATGCCAAACGTTTATGGAAAAACAGAATTAAGACCCAAGTTTTTGCTTGCATGAACAAATTTTCAAGTCTACGCATAGTTTTCTCCACAAAATGCATTTTCCATGAACTTTTGAAAGTATGTTCCTAAAGGTCCTACACCGGCACACTTAATAGTTACTAACTGGACACGCAAACCTAGTCTTATAAAAACCTGCCCTTGGTTTTTAAAAGTTTATGTAAACTCTCAAACGCAAAATTAACATGCATGTGAAACATTATTACATATAGGATCTGCCCACATCAAACACCAACAAAACATCACCTTTCAGTATTCTAGGCCAGCTTCTAAAAATCAGTCATCTTAAAAGAACCTCGCGCTTGTGAAAGCCCCGGGCTGACAGTCATGGGAACCAAAAATCTCCTATTTAGCTGAAAGAACAGGGGAAGGGCAGCCGGGCTTCCCCACGGAGGGTCTTAATCCCCCTCAGGCCCGCCCAGAGCGGAGAGGACAGGTTAGTGGTCCTCACAGAGGATGCCCGTCCCCTGGGGAAGATGATCCTGGATTCCGGCAGAGGCCAGCAGCACAGACTCCTACCATGCAAGTCCGGTCACCTCCCAGGTCGGGGAGGCCAGCGCCACGCATACCCGGGACTCATGGCCGTGACCTCCACGCCAACACCTGGCTCCTCAGAGCCTTCTCACGTGAGCTAACTCTAGCACAGCCATTCAGCCACACTGAAGTGGAAAATGACGACAGAGATTCAAAAACAAGACGGCAGCTGATGTAGTAGTAGCAACTGAGTGCACAACTCTGACTCCCACTCCTACTCCTTCAGTCCCTTGGAAAGCTTTGGTAGAACTGTGGAAACCAGCCCAGACACGAAAACCGCCAGAGAGGTAAAAGGGTCAGAATAATTAACAAAATAGCCAATTAATTAAGGACTGGCAGCAATATTAGACGTGATATACCTCTACAACTACCAAAGAAAGCTTAAAACAGTAAAACACACACTAAATAAATGGAAACATTAAATTACTACAGTAAAAAAACTAAGATTCTCTGAAAATTCAAATGTAACTTCCATGAAGCAATTTTGTAATTTCTCCTTGATACTGTAACTTTTAAGGAATGAACTTCTCATTCCCTAGTATAAACAATGAACCACCACACATACCTAAGTGTCCCAGGTCAGCAGGAACCACTTGGGCCATCTCCCTGTACTGCGCTTCTACTGTTACCACCTTTACCTAGAACATTCATCACAGATGAACATTTACTCACAATCATTTGAAAAAGCAGTTATTCAAAGAAGCGGCTTTCCAGATCTTACTAACAAGGCCACACCTCAGCACGTTCAGAGTACTCACAGCCAAAAAAGAAAACACAAGACATGCCAACTATCACAAAATTCCTCTGAATTTTCCCCAAAGAAATAGAACCATCAGTCCTTACAAGACAAAGACGCTAACGCATGCTAACAAAATGTTAAACAGGATATCCCACTAATAATGATTTATAAAAGTTCAGCTATTTAAACGTACAATTAAAATTTATTTCAATTAGGGGCCCATGCTGTGGCTCTCCAGCTCTCTGCTGTGGCCTGGGAAAGCAGTAAAAGATGGCCCAAGTCCTTGGGTCCCTGCACCTGCATGTGTGCCCTGGAAGAAGCTCCTGGCTTTGGATTGGCCCCAGCTATGGCCATTACAGCCATTTAGGGAGTGGACCAGCAGACCTCCTCTACCTTTCAAATAAATAAATAAATAAATCTTTAAAACCAACGGCAAAGGAAGACCTTTCTCTCTGTCTCTCTCTCTCTCACTGTCCACTCTGTCTGTCAAAAAAAAAAAACAAAACAAAACAATTTCTATTAGATATATCATAACATTACAGAATGTCAAAGCCAAACTTCAAATGTTCAATTTCTTAAATTTTAAGCTTCTAAATTGATGATTGCTTTAGTTATAATAAAGTTTTAAATATATTTATTTTTATTTTAACTTTTATCTTTAGATATCTGTGTAAACAAATTGTTAAAATAAGGA